TTTCCTGATTTGGGGAGAAAGTGGAGAGGGGACACAGTAAGCATGAAGTTAGAAGCCCCCTCCCCCCCCCCGAGAAAAAAAAATGAAATAAGATTAATGAATCCGAAAGCATACCCGGAAACTACACAAATGCGATTATAGTCTAGTCGCATGCACATCGTAGGCCCTTCTTTTTCATCCGTAATAACCACAACAAGAAATATACACTTTACAACGGTAAAAAACAAAATGTAATATAGCCCAGTGTTTTTACCGCGAAGACCTTTCTTTCACGTCATGAAACGAAGTGAAAATTCCGGAAAACCCTGTTAAAAAGATATAGATCCTCTTTTTTGCATGTAATAATTATACATGAAATTCAGATTGAAAACCCCTGATTTGTTGCTGTTTTCGTCTCTCCTACACATTATATTAGGATGTGGGAAGCAGTTGTTTCCAGTATGGGTGTGTCATTTCATTAAAAAAAGTAGATTCATCACACTTTGCAAACATTGCTGCCGCGCCGGTGGTCATGTGGTGAAGAGGAAGTGACATTATATACATTTGAATACATTCTTTGAATGATGGAGGTACGGATGTTGATTTTATCCACGGGGCCTATATTTTTCTGAGTTGTGAAAATTTTCTAAAGGCGAAAAAGCACCCAAGCAATGCGAGAAAAGAAACGCCGTGAATGGTCATGGTTTTGTTTTGTTGTTGTTGTTATTTTTTGGGGGGGGGGGGGGCATTTGCCCACCTCCGGCAACACCCGTGTTGCCAAATAAACATTTAGGCCTATATACATTAGAATCAGCAGCGTATCCAGCTTTTGATGTCGGGGGGGGGGGGGGGGTACCCATCTTCCAAATGGGGGCGCTCTTCAAAACTTACCATTATTATGTATACTAAATTATTATATGGACAATTTCACGGCGCATTGTAATGGTTGTTGAGCGGGTTTTCTTTGGGGGGATTGATGTCAGAAGAACTCTAAAAACACTTCAAATCATTGCTGACCCAAAAAAATTGTCAAAAAACTCCGCCAGGGGGGCAACCTGCCCCCCCCTCCCACTGGATACGCCACTGATTAGAATATGAAACTATTCGAAATCGTGTTTCGTGATGAAAAGTTTGTGCCTGTTCTCCCCCCCCCCCGCTTACTTTTATCGAAAAGTGTAATATCCACTGAGCTGTTAGGTTAGGTTTGAACATTTTTCTTAGGATTTTGATTGGCGTTACTATTGGAAACGAACAAAATGCCCGAAGAGCAAATATATGCCTTTAATGGACCAAACAGGTACTAGGTACACGTTGTCTTTTCGTATGTCAACGGAACAGATCTCCAGTCTCAGACCCACTATGGTTCTAAGGACGTACGCAGATTGGGAACAGGCCGTGCGGGCTGCTCGGGTCGTCTACGACCACTCGCAGGCGAGGATGGTCTGCAAAAGGAAGACGGTGCGGAAATCCAAGAAAATGGCCTTCCTGTCCGCGATTTCAGTGAAGGAGTCTGGTGGGATTTCATCCACAAGTGAGAGCAGCAAAACGTCATCATCCACTCGTCGAAAGCCAAAACTCGATGTCAAGAAATCTCACCGAAGGTAAAGCCAATCCGCATTCCCTGCAATGTAATCATTTTCGACGAAGATTAAAATATCTGTCGCATTTTTCACGATATATCATTTAATTTGAGATCCAAATAAAAAAAATATAACTTGCTATCTTACAATTTCCGTTCCGACACATCCCCTCCGAGGCTCCGAGGGGTTTCGAACAAATGTAAAAACATCAACATCGTCGCATGCAACCCTCTTTCGAATGCAATTGAAGTTACTGACACGTTCAAAAAGGCAAAACTAATTCCGTGTGCAGGCCGGAAAATGAGCCACTTCAATTAAAATGGCATAACTCTATGGACTGTTTCCCAGCCCCCCCCATCATATTTGCAGTCCGAATGACAATGAGGACAGGGAACGAGATTAGGAATAACTCCTCACAACAGTCACTAATTTGAACAATTCAAACATTTATATGAAACCCTCAGTCTTTTCTCAATATATTCTATTTGCCACAAACAAAATGGTGAACTTGGGCCAAGATCATTCTGACGCACCCTGTATGGTTGTTATACCATGCAGTTTTACAGTTGTGTAGAGATTAATATATTTTTTTATTCATTCCTCACAAAATGTCCCCAATCCCCCGTTTTAGTTGCACACATATCGAGAAGAAGAAGATACAGATTTTCATTGCGACCCCTTTGGCATCAACTATTTGCCTGCAACTACATCCGTCAACCTCGATCTCAGCAGTGAAGGAATTACTGCAAGATCGACTAGGAATCGATCCTGAGAAGCAGCACCTTTTCATGAGGAATGAAATGGAGGTACTGTGAAACGGAAACCATTTTCAGAATATAATTTATGTTATTGGTATTGAATTAATGCTTTTTTGTATAAACAAGGACCCATTGTGTATACATTTCAGCAGGCTATATTTTGAGCAAATTGACGGGGCGATGTGAAGACATAATTTGAGGCATAGGGCCCTATAATCAAAATAAAGACCAGACTTTATTTCAATCTAGATATTTTAATGATAAAACATTGAAATTTTAAATCATTGCAGCCTGTAAACCTACGTAATTAACGACATTTTTGTCGTTATTTCATACTGCGCACTATAAGATTGTCCTATTATTTTATTTACCCTTGAACATAATTTATAACGCCCTCATTCTTTAAAACACAACAACTATATTCCGTTTCGATGGCACCTCTAGATTGCTGTTCTGGTTTCGCGCGCCGTACACTCAAGTAATTTTAATACTTAATGATTACTGTACATAAATTATTACAACTGCAACATTAGTACGTCTCGAAGTTGATGATCAAAATTACGAGTAAGTAAAATAATTTCCAGTCTGTTTAAAGCGTCTGGTTGAACCTGCAAATCAAATCTCGTTGCTCATAAGCTTGAATTGTTTTTAATTGTGAAATAACATGTAATTTCCGAACAGCTTTGTGACGCACTGTCCCTGGAGGATCATTGCATTCATCAAGACACCAACATAGAGCTGCGCCTCGTAGCTGGATTGATGGGTGGTCGGGGTGGACGAAAGAAAAATAAATCAGGTAAATGTCATTAATTGGTAATAATTATTGTTACATACATCAGATATATCGTACACACAGTCTCCACAGCAAACACCCTGCCTAATCATTGACTATATATCTGGCTACACAGGCTGAACATCGCCACCAGAATACCGGAGTTGAAACTTATCAATGTAGGCCCATTACTAATAAATAAGAGAGATACAAAACTGCGGATTTGCATGTGTTTATTCTGCCTTTACAGAGTAACAACTTGTTACAATAATATTATATTTGTTTCTCTTGGGGTTCGGTTACATTCTAAGACAAAAGGATTTTTCTAAAAGCAGAACTGAAGAAAGAAAGTGAGTATGTCGCCGATAGGCCTGTATCATAGTATACCTTATGCCAGTATTTTTGATCATCGCAATGTTTCGCACAGCCAAGAAGGGAAACGCTGATCCGAAGCCACAATCACAGAGTCCGACTAGCCGATCGGATACTCCAGCAGCGCCAGCAGAAGAGGGACAACATAAAGAGGATTACAGTACACCAGAGGCTAGTGCAAGAGACAAACCACCAACGTCAAGTAGGAGAAATACAGACATCAATGTGGATGGCAATCAAAACCGCATCAAAGTTGAGGAAGATCGAAGTAACATTAGTCAAAATATCCGTGGTATGTTAACATATTTGGAATGATTATTATGTGGGCCTCAATGCAAGACGTGCATGTAGGCCTACTGTATGTTGGATGCCTGATTTTTGAAATGAAGTAGTGCAAATGTTGCCAAAATAGGTATAGTTAATATTTCCTTAAAGTGATATTGACAAGCCATTTTACTTGTTTTTTGGGTGGTTTTTATACAAAAAGGAAACACCTTGCGTAATTTGATGCCTAAACAACTAACACATACCTAGTCTTGCAAGTAAACCGATTTGCCAGTGATTTTGAAAACTGTCAATTCTTCGTACTCAGCTGAAGAGAAAAAAGCTGATGCAAGGCTGCAATCAGGAGGTCGGACAAGCCGATCGGATACTCCAGTAATAGAGAGACAAGCTGAAGGGGACTACAGTGCAGCAGCAGGTGCTACTGCAAGAGAGCAACCACCAACGAACAACAGGGGAAGAACAGAAATCAATATAGAGAGCGATAAAAACCGTGACAGAGTGGGAGATGGAACTACACATAATTATTATATCTTCGGTAGGTCAACTAGTAGTACCCACTAAAAAGCTGCAATTAATAAGAGTAAGTTTGCGGTTGCACCTTGTGATCAGAAATTCCTTGCGTGTGTTTCTGTGTGTGTGTTACTATTTGTATAGTCACGCGGGGCAACTGCAAACTCAATCTTATTACCGACTTCGCCATGCAATCCTCCACATCTTCTCAAAGCTCCAAATGTAAATGCGAAATATAACCAGCGATGGAAGGGCGGTATGCGTCCCCCAAATAATATTGTAAAAACTGCTTGAAATTGGCCTAAAAGAGCGTTATGTTCATAATATCGAGTGCAAGCTTTGAAGTGTCATGGACAGCGCTCCTTTTGCCAAATTGATATCCACGGACATAAAATTCCAAGCATTTTCCTGGTAATTGCCCCGATAACCATCTGATTACCGGACCACGTGACATATGCGTGATAGATGAAGCGATGCTTGCCTTTTAATCTGATATCCAGCTGAGGGCGCTAAAACAAAATCGTATAGTGTGCTCAATTTATTTCACTTTAAATCACTGTCATTGCCATGCTGTAATTTTTCTCAAGAAATGTGGGTCTAAGTCTTGAGGCATCGTCGACCATCCTACATTGTTACATATGGAAGTTAGCATTACTATTCCTTGTAGCATTTAAAATGTTGCACTGCCATGCATCTAACAAAATGGATGAATTTATTTCATTGTACATTGATTTATCAGTGATTCCGATGATGATGGACGTATCGGATGGCGGGAAGACCGACCGGGCTATGACACGCCAATCGTATCAAGTACTTCACGATGGAAACCTCGACGTCATGCAAATACTTCGAGATAACCTGAAAAGACATGACGAAACCACCATCCCTAGCGTGGAGCCGGGATCAGTGAAATTCATCCTGCACGTCAGGAGTCGCAAAGGCCTCGACAGCCTGTGGAAGGATTACTGCTCCGGGAAACTTGCTCAGGAGTTCGGTGAGGCGCTCATCACTGACGAACTCACCTCCGAGGACAAGAGTAACATAACAGTCAGGCTGAAGATACAGGAAAGCGACTACGAGAAAGGATGCAGATTCTTCGAATCATTGCAAACTGGTAATGCATTTTTCTCGTTGATTAGAGAAAACAAGTACTTCTCCGAAGAAAGAGTTTGCAATCCCAATTCCATACTTGGTTTTTGTACAGATGTTAATTAATTCAGTGTGGGTTATTGATTTTTCTGACGCCATTTATCTTTGTGTTTTGATGTACTTGCTCTTTAAAGATACGATGTTAAGCCATCTTCTATTCTTTCCTTTTTTTAGCCTGAATAAATTGTTACAATACGTGATTTCTTTACTTTCAGACCCTGCCGAGCGAGTGTTACCAGTGCGCATGTCTGACTGGACTGTGGAGCATGTACGGCAATGGCTTCTAGATATTGGGGTATCTGATTCCATTGCCGACGAAATGTACGAGGGAAAAATACGCGGGAAAGTGTTGAAAATGTACACAAAGGCTGATCTGAATGACGACTATAGCCATATTACGACAGGCGACATGCGTCTTATTTTGTACAGCAGGAAAACCTGGTTGGAGTCTGAAAAGCAACAGCGAAGCCCACTCAGACAAGAAGCAGTGACTCAAGAAACGGAGCAAGATCTGTCTCACGGCATCGAACGGGATGTTCAAGACCAACCCACGCCGTTTACGTGGGAACCCAAGGAATCCGCACTCCCTCAGGGTGACGAAAGTTCTCAACCCGCAGCAGGTGCTACTACAAAAGATGTCACTGCAACGACTATCGATAGCATCCATGTAGGAGGCAGTAACAACCCTGTAATAATGGGAGGTCAACATGTTATTAATTACTATCATGGTAGGTAAACTTTATTGATAATTTAGTATGAAGTGTATGGCTAACTCCAGTTACGATGTGTGACTGTTTTGTGACGAGGCGATGGCGGGGTACAGCTGCAGCTGCATGTTCGCATTCATGATCAGTGTTTACCAGTGCTTTGCCGAGAATAAACAAATTATTGCGTGCAAAGGTGAAAACTTCAAGCTATGTGGGGAGTGCTGTCCACGACACATCACATGCTTATTTTAGATCCCTTCCCGTTTCTTTTAAAATAGACTTCGCTGTATTTTTCATACAACAATAATTGTTCTGAGCCTGTCGGTCCGAATCAACTCGTCCCAGGTCAACTCTGTCCTGATTCAACTCAGTCTCAAGTCAACTCAGTCTCAAGTCAACTCGGTTCCAAGCCAACTCGATCCAAGTAAACTTACCGAGTTGACTTAGGAGTGCCTAAGTCAACTCGGTACCAGGTCACAAATGTGAATTTTGAAGAAGAAATATTTTTACTCTAGCAAGGCTGGCAATAGGGGGCGAAAAATCAAATTGCGCCACGTTAGGGGACATCATCTCTACAAGAGACCTTAAAATTATGCGACCATGATTTTTGTGTATTTATTTTTATGCCGTAGTGGACCAAGTTCACCTGCAATCGAATTGACTTGGGACCAAGTTGACTTGGGACCTAGTTGGTATGGGACCGAGTTGACTTGGGACTGAGTTGACATGGACCGAGTTGGTTTGGGATCGAGTTGACCTGCACCCGTATTGGTGCGTCGAGTCCCTAAGTCCAAACGTTCAAAGAGTTCAAAAGAAGGGTCAAATGGTGAATGATAATGCAAATTATAATTACTAGAGAAGCCAACAAGTCTCAAGTGTGCTGGTATGTTACACGTGAACAGGAAAATAACTGGGTAAAAGTTATAAAATTTGTCATTATTTTGGGCTCATGCTCTTTAAAGGCCTTATAAAATTGCAGCTGACATTATAAAACTGATAAATCTTTTGACTTGAACGAGAAATGCCGTAACAAGCATTTACCTCTTACTTGCATAATTATGTACCCCTAAAACGGGGTACATGGATTTTCCAATTTTGTTAATAAAGTTAAAGAACATATTATTCGAAAGTATTTAAGGGGGACAAAAAATCTAAAGTCAACCGTTTATAGATTTGCACCTCATCGTGATCTGTTCGGACTAACCCCACTAAATGTAGAGCCCACTGGCTTAAGGTGAATCATTGCATCGGCGGTCTACCCGATGTTCCCCAATACCTATTTATATGTTCCCCAAAATCTTTAGAATTAAGGTTGGGGAACATAGGTATTGTGGAACATAGGTATGCACCCATTTCAACGTTACCGGTATACATTCTCGTCCTCGCGTCACGCAAGTAAACGAAAAGAAAAGCAAAAGTGCACAGAATAGTGTGCACTGTAAAAGGTTGGTTTTAGCCATATTTATAAGTCACATAAGAGGTGTGGATTCAGTCATGGTCGATCAGTCTGGATGTTTATGTAGGAGTAAGCACGACTAATCAGATATTTAAAATGTTTCCCAGTGGTGCAGTTACCAACAATTGTTAAAAAAATAATGATTAATTTATTTCATTCTACGTATTATTTTATCAGAGAGCCCGATGATGATGGACGTATTGCGTGATGTGCAACCGGACGATGCGCTGACAAAACGCTTGTACAAAATACGTAACGATTACATAGAATTACTCGGAGATATCGTGAATAAACATGAAACCACCATCGCTAGCGTGGCGATGGGATCTGTAAAACTCATTCTACACGTCAAAAGTCGCAAAGGCCTCGACAGCCTGTGGAAGGATTACTGCTCCGGGAAACTTGCTCAGGAGTTCGGTGAGGCGCTCATCACTGACGAACTCACCACCGAGGATAAGAGTGATATAACAGTCAGGCTGAAGATATCGAAAAACGACTACGAGAAAGGAAGCAGATTCTTCGAATCATTGCAAACTGGTAAGTAACTTTCTCGTTGACTGGAGAAAACAAGTACTTCATGCCAAAGACAGATTGTCGCCCGCCCCCCCCCCCCCCAAAAAGAGCAAAATATTGCATGAAATTGATGGTACTTTGTATTTTTCATGAAATCTAACTTCGGTATAATATCGCAAAATACATGACTGATTTTGTTCAGAAAACGCCCTTAACTCAGTGTAAAATCTGTTAATACTTTGACGCCATTTGTCTTCGTGTCTTGCTGTGTTTGCCATTCATCCCTCTAGTTTTCCCTCGTTTATTTTAACTTTTTTTTAGTCTTAAAATGGCTGAAACAAGTTTCAATAATTATTTACTTTCAGATCCTACCAAACGAGTGCGCATGTCGGACTGGACTGTGGATCATGTACGGCAATGGCTTCTGGATATTGGGGTGTCTGATTCCGTTGCCGACGAAATGTATGAGGGAAGCATAGACGGAAAAGTGTTGGAAATGTACACCACAAATGATTTAAATGACGACTACAGCTCGATGACGAAACGCGACATGCGTCTTATTTTATACAGCAAAAAACGCTGGTTGGATTCTGAACAACAACAGCGAAGCCCTCTGAGACAAGAAGCAACGATTCAAGAAACAGAGCAAGGCTTCTCTCACAGCAGCAAACGCGATATCGAAGACCAACTCACCCCTTTTACACAGGAACTAAAGGAACCGGCACCCCTTCAGTGGAAAGAAAGTTCTCAACCCGCAGTTCGTCCCAAAGCACCAAGGATTCGTGACAAGCCAAGTCCAAAGAAGGAGAAAGCAAATAAAGTTGCAGCTGTGGTTCTGCGGCAAAGCCTAGAATCCACTACTTCGTTTCAACAGTCTGATCATCCTGATGATTACTCCAACATCACTGATCAGCGACGACCACGGCAGCCACATGATGAAAAGCGGCACCATGAGGCTAAATCCCGGGAGCCACAGGAAAAGGAGAAAAACTTGCCTGTAGGTGATAGACTAGCATCAATATCACGTAAAATATCAGAAGTCGCAACAACTGACGAGGCCAGGCTTCGTATGTTACTCACGGGCGACGAACGTGGTGAGCTTGACCAGTCGTATTATCCAGTGCTCATTGCAAACAAACCTGCAACGCCAGCTGACAATGACACAGACGCAATCGTACGTCAATTTGGATTCATTAAGACAATCAGGTGGACCACCGTCCTAGACTTTAATTCAAAATCCAAAGAGGACGGGCTATGCAAGCTGTACCATGACGATCGAATGGTCTCTCTGCAACAGCCGGAACTATTCAAACGCATCGAGTCTGATGAAGAGTTCCGGAATTCAATCGAATTTTCTGAAAAGACAGTCTGGGTGTTCGCAAATGGGCGTGAAGACGACCAGGATATCCAGGCGCCTAAGATGGCCCTGCCTGAATGGCACAAAGAACGCCGCAGAGATGTAGAAGCTTCGGTGACATTCTTCTCCCAACCATCGGTGATACCGGAAGGTCGAGCTGTGATCATGTTCCTGCTGCTATCTGAAGATGACATCGACATCCTCTGCGAGATTTTTGGGAAATTGTCGTCATCTTTTAAAAGCCTGCAGAACATCGTCTGCATCGCCGAAGACCAAGAGCTTTATTCCAAGTTTGTGAGTAATGTTACAAAGTGGTTTTCCAAAGATGAAATCGACAAAAGGAGTTTGGTGGGACTTGAGTGGCAAGATATAAACAGAATCATGATGCAAATGAATGGCGTGAACCAGACCACCAAGAATGAACTTCCTTCCAACTTGCCTGGGCAGTGTTTTCTTTCAGAGAAACAGAAGGATGAATGGAATGACATTACTGTTGTGTGCAAGAATGAGTGTGAAAATACCGATATGGACGATACCAGTCCAAGCTACCAGCAATTTGTTAAAAGAAAGGAGCTAGACTTTTACCATGGTGAGAAAGTTGATTGGTGGAATTTTGCCATCGGTGAAAAAGAGATAAAGCTTCGCAAAACCTGCGGTCATGTTCTGAAAAGGAAAGGTTTTGGGGATGTTCTCAGGAAAGTAAAAAAACCACTGGATAGTTCCAGGAGTGGAGATAGCTTGATTGTCACAGTGACACTTCTACACCAACCTGGCGCTGGGGGTAGCACTTTAGCTCGCCATGTCTTGTGGGAACTTCACAAAGATTACCGATGTGTGGTAGTTAACAGAGTTACAAGTCGCACGGTCAACCAACTAATGGAGGTGAGACACTTTGGTTATGAGAAGGAACATGTTAGGCAAATCCCGCCAGTGTGCGTGCTCGTTGACAATCTCGATGATGTTGAAGTGCTGGATTTGATAGCAGACTTGGAAGAGAAATCAAAACATGTTCGTGTGGATGGTGGAGCAGTGTGCGTCCTGCTTCATTGCAAGCGTAATGCAGACCCACTTAAGGCCATCACTGCCAAAGATAGGGATCCCGACCTCTACATACCATTGACCCAGAAGCTTAACCAAACAGAAAAGGAATGGTTTCAGCAAAAGTACATTGAATTGGAACACAAGGAAAACGAGTACAAAACAGGAGATTACATTCCTGACAATCTCCTTGCCTTCATGGTGATGAAGGAGGAATTCAACAAGGAGTATATAACAGGTGTCGTCTCAAGGATACTTCAAGACATCGAAGGGAACGAGCTGAAGCTAATTAAACTGTGTGCCCTTCTGAACTCTTACATACATGAAGCTGACATACCTATTTCTTGCTGTGACACGTTTATGGCCGGTACATGGGCCAAAGGAAAGACAATCTACTTCACGAGACAAACTTTGAACTGGGAAAAGTCTGTGTCAGCCTCATTTAAGGTTATGGTGGTTATAACAGAAAACCGAACCATCAAGATTTTACATAAGAGCATAGCCGAGGAGGCTTTGAGACAAACCCTGAGAGATAGCGGGGGCAAATCGCTGGCGGATGTAACACTGGAGTTCTTGAACAGCGAGCTGCTTCGGTCGAGTTCTTACGGCAGAAAGATTCTGGCAAAGACAACGCAAGATCTACTCATCAGGAGGGAGTGTGTAGAGGATACCAAGACAGAATTTTCGGTACTCATCGAAGATATCTGCAAAATGCAGGGATCGGAAAAGGCCATCAACATACTGACAAAGGGCGTTGAAATACTTCAAGATGCCTTTGTCGCACAGCATCTTGCAAGGTTTTATTTCATAAAGGAGAAAAAAATCAATGTGGCACACACCTTTGCTGCGAAGGCGTTAAATATTAATCCCCCAAACCCTCATTTTGAGGATACAAAACGTCGTGTTTACGAAGCACATTTTGACACCCCTACTGAACCACGCGTACTTGACCAGCAAGCCCATAGTTATATGGAACGAAGGATTTTCTCTGTCCTTTGAAGCCTGTTATGTCCAAGGTGTATAAATGGGTTACAAATCTAGTACTGAGAGAGAGCAATTAAGATTCGAGGACAACACTTTATTCGTACAATTCCAACATGGCGCAGCCCACCTTTTTTTTTTTTACTACAGAGGGCGCTATGCAAATAGACTGAACACAACATCAATTACGGGAGCAACTTCCATTTTGAAAGAATACTTTGATCAGTTTGCAAAGAATCAAAATATAAACAGAAGAATCCGAGACATTGGAAGAGTGAAGTGGAGGGGACCCGTAGGAAGCAGAGCTTGTCGAGTACGGGACCCCTGGACAACAAAGTTTGGAAAATAAAGAGACATTTGATTATGTACAGGTCAAGTTAAATTGGATAAGTTAGACGAAATATAACAAACAAAACAATAACAGTTACAGGGACAAAAATACATAAATAAGTTGTGTCATCAGCGGAAGTACGTAATGAGAACGTGAAATCAAACAAACAAATATAACAAAAGAATTATATTATATATGTGTAGCAATAGCAAACAGGATTAAGCAGCTTGGCATAAGAAAAATATAAGTTTCATAAATTAGTACATAAGGTTAAATTAAAAAATTAGAACTTATTTTAGAATCTTTAAATTTGTTTTTGAAGAGACAAAGAGTTTTGGCATTGTGCAAGTTTGTATGAAGGGAATTCCATTATTTGGGGCCTTGGTACTTGATTGTTATTAGTGAAGTATTTGTACGGGAAAGTGGGAGATGAAAAAGGGAGGCCTGGCGTGTAGAATATGCATGAATACGACGGTTTCTGGAAAATATTGAAGCGAGGCAGATGCAAGGGCGGATCCAGGGGGGGGGGCCAAAGGGGGCCATGGCCCCCCCCAAAACGAAACCATTTTTTTTTTTTCATGTGACATCGCAATAAAGGCAGGCAATGAGTACACCACCGTCTTTTCCTCAAAAAAACATTGGTTAAAGTGGTCAGAAATTGCCTCAGATCGCACCACAGAGCATCTAGAATCCTAAAAATTTTCGGGGCCCTTAAGCGGGCCCCGAACCCCTCGCCGTAATTTTTTTGACCCACTTTTTGGGGGTACCAAATTTTTTTTTGGCCCCCCCCCAAAAATTGTGTTCTGGATCCGCCCTTGGGCAGATGGGTAATTCATTGTGTGCAAGTTGATACGTGAAGGTTCCAAGTTGGAGAGAGTAAATGTCGTTCAGCTTGAGGGTCCTAAGATTGAGAAAAAGGGGATTAGTATGAGCTAAGTAATGAGAATTGCTGATTAAGCGAACGGCCCGTTTTTGTAATAGAAACAGTCTATTTAGTATAGTATGGGATGCATTTCCCCATGCCAGAGTACCGTTATTTAAATGAGGCAAAATCCAATTACAAACAGACACAAGTTCAGCATTCACTGTGTTGTTAATGGTGTGTATATTTTTGTTCGAGTAAAAGAGATTGGAGTCGTCAGCAAAAAGTATGAAGGAAAGTGTGTCAGATGGTTTGGAAATGTCATTGATATAAATTAAGAAGAGTAGAGGTCCGAGGATAGATCCCTGGGGGACACCACAAGTTAATTAGCATGCGTGGGGTTGATGAACTTCCATTCACAGTGACATAATATTGCTTCCTGTTGGTTAAGTAGCTGGCGAACCACTCCAGAGATTTTCCCCGTATACCATAATTATTTAACTTGTGAAGTAAGATGTTGTGATCCAGGGTGTCGAAGGCTTTAGAAAAATCCAGGAAAATACCCAAAGTATGTTCAGAGTTGTCAATTCCTGTGGTAACTTCGTTTATCAGTTGAAGGATGGCATGCGTAGTGATGTGCTTTGCTCGAAAACCAAATTGGTAATCAGAGAGAATATTATGTTTTATAAGGAAGTCAGTGACTCGTGTGTAGACTAATTTCTCAAGGATTTTTGAAAAACACGACAGAAGTGATATTGGCCGATAGTTACTAACTAGGCCTTTATCTATCCACTTTTGTAGATTGGAGTAACCTTGGCTATCTTTATGTCATCGGGAACTATTCCTTGAGAAAGCGAAATATTCACTATATGGGTGAGAGGGTTAACAATGGCTGAAATAACTTTCTTGATAACAATAGTGTAGCGGCAGCACTTCAGGGGGGTGGTGTAGCTCCACTAGTGCTACAGCTGGGGAATCGCAAAGGTTTCTGATGTGGGTCATAGGTCGCAGGTAATAGAAATGCAAGGGTTTCGACTTTCGACAGAAGCCTCATCAGGTTCTACATTTATTATCGCATTGATCAATTGGCTCCGTGAAAACTGTGAATAAACCAGATTAAATCACAAAGTATAATCAAAATTATGACAAAAGTGTACATTGATTACATGTTTAAGTGTGATTAACATTATCAGAAAGTGAGACTGGGTACCAGGTTTAAGCACACAAAAGTAATCATCTCTATCATGTTGCGAATTACTAAGAATTCAGTCGCAAAATTATCATAAAATCATATCAAAGACAATACTTCTTGCATAAGACAACATAATCATTAGAAATTTACCTCCTTGCGTCCTGATTATTGATCAGTATCATCAGCAGATTTCAGATTCAAAATGATTAAAGTCAGTGTCGAAAAGATTAGCTACCATGAGGTCGTCCATTGGGCTTTGTTGCTAAGCAGTACACTGTACCTCAACAGAGGGCGCTATACAAAAAGGTGTAATCATTAGGATACATTTATAGTATTGATGGAATCAAAGCCACTGCTTTTTTGTTGGCAAGGTTGCTTACAACATCAGTTAATTCTTGTCAAGGTGAGATTTATTGTGGGTTTACTGTAGTTGAATGAGCAGTGGATCTGTGTGCTGTCAGTAACTCAAGCGTTGCAGTTTTCCAAGGTCGGTGTTTGCGAGTTGCGATTTGGAGAGTTTGTTTGAGAACGCGATTAAATCGCTCGACGAGTCCGTTTGTGCGGATGGTGAAGTGCGGATGTGCTTAATTCCTCGCTGGATCAAATATGACTCGAACTCTGTGGAGACGAACTGGCTCCCATTGTCAGAAACCAACTCGTTAGGCAACCCTTCCCTCGCAAAAATAGAATCAAGCATGGAGCAGACGGAATGTGAAGTGGCATCAGCGGCAAACGCGACTTCCGGCCACTTACTGTAGTAGTCAATCAAGACGATTGCAAATCGGCAGTTTTGTGGACCATGCTCAAAGAGACCACAAAATTAATGTCAGTGGCGAGCTTTTGCCATGGATGAGCTGGAAGAGGTACAGGTTGCAATGGTGGAGTGCGAATGTATGTGGTCTTGTCACTAACTAGACAAGCTGCGCAGTGACAACTTGGTGTTTTATCTGTTTGTCCATACCTGGTCACCAATAGCATTCATGAAGTCGTTGCTTGGTGCGTACAATTCCCTGATGTCCTTGGTGCGCAATGGTAATCAGGCTTGGCTGAAGAGCAGTAGGTATGACGAAACGGTCACTTTGCATGATACAGTCATCCGCAGCAACTGAGTGTTCATCCCGGAGGTTGAAATAAGGTTGTAGTTCAGTTGTAATGTACTGTTTAGCAGGCCAACCTGATCTAATGTATTCTGACACATTTTGGAGTTCAGTTTTTGTGATAGCAGAAGCATCAACAAGTAGTGCTGAAATCCACTGGGTAATGATTTCATCATCAGTATGTTCGATCGCGTGCACTGTAGTAGCAGTCTAGAGCGTCAGCCACTCTGCGCACCAGCTCGAAATTCAACTCTGTTCTTGAAATTCAGCAGACGACCAGCCCACCTGGCGATCCGCTTTGGTTTGTGGCCAGTGCCACTTGTGGACAGTAGTGTAGTTAGAGCTTGATGATCAGTTCGAAGAGTAAACTGACAGCCCCATAAGTACATGTACTTGTACCATTTCTCACTTGCACACACGTACGCACGAAAGTGCTTCCAGTTCGCTAACTGAATATTTGCGTTATGTAGTTGTAAAAATAAGAGAGCGAGATGCGAAAGCGATGGGAACTTCGTGATTGCTCTTGATCTGTGCGAGTACCGCTCCTTCGTCGTAAGCTGAAACATCAGTAGATTGATTGTAGGAAGATCGGGGTCAAACAGCGCAAGTGTAGTAGCATTGGAGATGTGCTGTTTGAGTAACTCAAAAAGCACAATTGAGCATCCTTTGTCCAAATGAACTGAGTGTCCTTGCTAAGGAGTGCGCAGAGTGGTTCAACCATGGTTGCGTAATTTGGCACAAATCTGGCGTAGTATACGACGCAAGTCCCATGAAGGATCGGAGTGTATAGATGGATCGGTAGGTTTTGGAGCATTTAGTAGTGCCTCTACGTGTGTTGGATCTGGAGTAAGGCCTTCGGACGAAACGATATGGCCCAGGAAGCGGAGGTTTGACAGATTGAAGTGGCATTTGTCATGGTTCAGCGTATGGCGAGCCAAAGTAACATTTATATAGCATTAGCAAAGTCTTAAAACAATTTAAAGATATCTCTAAATGATTTAGAGATATCTCTAAATATTTAGAGATATCTCTAAATATTTAGAGATATCTCTAAATCATTTAGAGATATCTCTTAATACATAAAGATTTCTCCCAATCGTTTAAAAGACAAATTATTTTGATAAATAAGTGACACACGAAAGAGCTTTATTGTCAATGATTTAAAGATATCTTTAAATTATTTAGAGATATCTCTAATTCATTAAGAGATATCTTTAAATCATTTAAAGACATCTCTAAATCATTTAGAGATATCTCATCAACGATTGCTTTAAACACACCGTTTTATTGGTCACAATGACGTCTTATAATACAATTTCTATTGCCATCCGTCTTTGATGGAAATGCTAAATGTGGTTGGCATCAACGTGGACTTTAAGTGCATTATTTGGCAACATGGATGAATGGAAATTCTTTCATTTGCAACTTCGGTTTGACATGAAATGCATTGTTGAAAAACATCATTCGCCTGAGTGTGCGGCGCTTCCTAATTTGTGAACCTCGACGGAACCGTGAATGTTTTAGAGATATCTCTAA